TTTTTTTAAAGAGTGTAGTACCACAGAATTTAGAGGGATTCTTGTTTCCATGATTCTTGTGATTTTTCTGGTTGCTGTACCCAGGGCATGGCAGTCGCCTGACCCTTAAATTTTTGTTTCTATTCCCACCGAGACCTGGGCAGTATGGGGAGAGCCTGGCTGCCTCTGCCTGTCCTGAGCTAAGCGCCACCACTGTAAGGAAACTCCTTCAGAAATTCATTGGTTCCTCCAAACTGCGTCAGTCTCTGTGTCTTCCTTTGAAACTTGGCCCTCCAGCCTCATTCCTTCCAGGCAGAAAGTAAGAGATGATGAATCCATGTTCCCAGTAGCTGGCCTTTGGCTGAGAGGGTAGGGAACACAGGATCAACTAGGGCTCCCCGCAGCCCCAAGCACAGGTGGTCTGTAGCTGCTTAGGAGCCCACAAAGACACTGCAGCACCATCTGCTTAGCTCAGTGTGAGCGAGCCCTGTGTAGCAGGGATGTGTATAGGGATTGGGAGGTGGGAGCTAAGACCCACATGCTCCGAGGTGTGTGAGGTTCCTGTCTCATGAGTGCTGTAAGTGGGAGTCCTACAGTGGAGCTGGGCTGAAGTGAGGATTTGGCTTGTCTCATTGTGCTTCCTGCCAGTGTAGGGTGCAGGATTCTCAGGAGCAGCCTGAGCTGGCGCCAGACACTCTCCCTTATCTGCCAATGGCCTGATTGGAGGGCAGGAATCCAGTACTGGGAGAAAACCAACTTGTCCACTGAACCCCAGGAACACATTGGCAAGGTGGGCTGGAAGGGACTTTGCAAAGGGGTATATGCTGCCTCTCCCCCAGAGGCCCTCCTGGAGGTGTGCCCGCCCCTAGGCTGCAGGGCCAGAAGGTCCCAAGGACACCTGCTCAGAGAAGGGAGGGTGGTCCCAGCCTACTTCCCATTTACCTGTCCTACAGAGAGAACACTCAACCAGGCTACTATACTGAAGAGAACAAGAAGACATTATCAGGGAAAGAACCCATGGGGCCTACCAGGGTGAGGGAAGGGCCAGTCACTATCTGGCCATCTCAGCTCTAAGGTTTTTGGATTCCACCAGCCTAAAAGAGAAAACAGGCCTTTATTCCCAGCACTCTGGCAGGCAGATCTCTGAGTTCAAGGCCAGCCTGGTCTACATAGCTCCAGAACAGCTGGGGCTACACTGAGACCCTGTCTCAAAAATAAAATCAGAGTCCTTATCACATCAGCTGGGATTAGTCTACCTCCCTCCACCCTTGCCCCTATCCTTTAACCCCTCAGGCAGGCTCCCACACAGCTGGAGCAGGCCTAAGGAATGATCTGCATGACTTGGAAGGGCCCCTCCCTACCTCATCTGCTGAGTAGAGAAACCCTAGGGGACCTTTGACTCTAGACTCTAAGCTGGAGACAAGGACTGGAACTCTTGGCTAAGGGCTGGAGCAAAGTCCAAAGGGAGGCCATAACAAGCAAACTTCAGATACAGGAATTTAGGTAACTTTTTCCCCTGTAGTCAGGAATAAAATGCCAGGAATGAGGAGCTGGGAGACCTTGATGAGTCGCCTTATCCTGGGCCTGCCTGCCTAACAAACGTCCTTCCAGCCTTTTGCCAGAGCTGTTTAGAAAACATGCCTGGCCTTTCTTGATGCCTACTTCAGATGATGACAGGGTATGGGGGACAGTTGTAAGTCAAAGGATGTCTCCCCAAGTGGGAGGATCTGGTACAGCTCCTAGAGCACTTTGCCAGCAGCCTGGCCACCCAACCTGTGCCTCTGCTGCCCTCTCATGGCAAGGCTGGTTGCAGCTGCCCCAGAGGCAGAAGCTAAGGAGCTGACTTGGAGGAGAAAAGGCCTGCAGGGCAGCCCAATGTGCTCTTGGAGGGAAGGGACCCTGAGTGGCCTCTGCTTTACTCATCAGAAGAACTCCAAGCTCCTTTGACAGGGGTGTTCCCCTGTATTCAGAATTCATTCCTTTACCCTCAGGCCAGTCTTCAAAGAGCAGAAAGCAGACCTAGGATCCTTCACCACAATCACCTATCCTTTCAAGGGCCAAGCCCACTGGGTTAGTCTGGTCTGTTGACAACACAGGACAGAGCTCCCCAATCCCACCCTTCCAGATACCTGGTAGCTCTTCTCCATAAATAGGCCAAATGAGGAAACAAGGGAAGCTGGCTAAGCAAGTGCTTTACTCAGCCAGGAGGCCCCAGGCCTGCCTGTGACTTGTTCTCCAGACCCTCTGAGCTTCTAGCTCCCACCTCCACCCTGACCTTTTTGATGAACTCCTGATATTCATTGGAGTCCAAGTCAGTTTATGGCTGTGAGGGGAAAGGAGTCTGCTTGGCCACTGCCAGCCAGGGGAGGCCAAGGCAAGCTCAGGAGGCTGTAGAGTGGACTGAAGGCACCGGACGTTTAGATCCCATGCCAAGCTCTGGCTTTGCGAGTGGGTGGTGCCAACTCTCCTTCTCATACTGGGTGGCTGTCACAGGCTCCACCAACTCAGCTCTATAGGGCTTCTCCTCCATGTGGCTAGTCTGTTCCAAAAGCCACAGTCGCTCTGGCTCACTCACTGCCAGCCTGAGTGTCACCTCCTGGAAGACGTTGCTGGCAGCCACCTGCATGAGCCAAGAGAACAGAGCCCAATAAGCTGCAGCCCCAAGTTCTAGTACCAATAGCTTTACCACCCAGACCCACACCTGCCCACTGAGGCCCTTACCTGCTTAAAGTGAAGCTTCTGGAACATCCGGATGCTTGGTTTATTTTCTTGCCCAATTTTAGCCTCAAACTTGGTCAGACCCAGCTTGGTCATTCCTCCATAGGTATCAAAGAGAGGGGCAAACAGCAGGATGAAGCTCCCTAGCCCTCCACCCCTCCTTGTCCCAGTTTGCAGTAGAGGTGCCCGGCAACTGCCCCTCTCCCTCTAACCTAAAGGAGGTTCAGTTGAAGCCTGGCCACTTCTGCCCACGTGGTTGACTCAGTCTTTCTTACCATAGGACATCATCAGGAGGGCTGCCTCGGTGCCAAACCCCTGACCTCTGTAGCTGGGCTCTAGGAGAAAGAACACACAGTGGCTGGCACCAGGACCAGGCTCCAGTGTACACCTGACAGGCACAAGCTCACTCAGTTCTCACAACTCTACTGTTAGTATTCTGCACAAGAGGAAGAGAGCCACACAGAAGAGGACACACAAGGATCCCAGCCTGCAACCCAACAACCCCATTCTCCAGGGGTCCTTGGGAGAACTTAAGGCCCACAGAAGCTGAAGAGGCTCCACCAATAGCAAGGCAGGACACTCCAAAAAGAATCATTTCATTTTGGAGTGTCTCCTCCTAAGGAAGGAACAGGTCAAGGGTTGGGGAGATAACTTAGTAGTGATGTGCTTGCAAGAAAGACCTGAGTTTGACCCTCAAAATCCATGTAAAAAAGTCAGGTGTGGTAGCATGGCAATTCTAATCCTAGCACTGGGAAGGTGGAGACAGGTAGATCCCTGGGATTCAATGGTCAGCCAGCCTAGCCTACTTGGCAAACTCACGGTTGGTGAGAGACCCTGCCTCAAACAAAAGGGTTGATGGCATCTAAGGAATAAGAGCCAAGACGGCCCTCTGGCCTATACACATACATACAAATCAAAGGTTAAATTCATACTAAGATATCTGGAGGAAAGTGATGAATCCAGAAGTTAACCACCATGCTGGGTGTGGAATGAGTTGTCTGCCATAACTAGGAGCTGGCTCACCAATATGGAGGCTGACAAGGGCTGAGATACCCCTGGGCACTCGCTAAGCACTCTGATGAGGTTCTGGTTCAACAGACACAAGGGAGGGGAGGCTGGGCCTGGTGGGACAAACCTGCAATCATGACCTCAATCTCCCCCAAAGCAGGGTCTTCTAGATCCATGAGGAAGAGGTTCACATCTCCCACCATGCAGCTCTCCTCGGTGGGGTGGGGCTGGGCCTGCCATTTCTTTGCATCCAGCACAATGAAGGTGCATTCTGAGGGAGGAGGTAACAAGGTTATCACCTGCATTCCTAGGAAGAGAGGTAAGGTCTGTATTCCCACTCAACTTCCTTTAGCTTATTACAAAGGTCCACGTCTACCTTTGATCTAAAAGAGAAAACATTATTCTACAAGTGGCATCTGTACTCAAAAGAGCAGGTGACCCAAAGGACAGTATCCATTCTAGGCTATGGCAAGGGCAGGACCTAAGTGCTTTACTTAATCCCTCCAAGCCTGTTGACTGCTCAGGGAAGAGGAAAGGTAGGTCAGGCACAGAGACAACTTCAAAAGGCCTAAGAGCATAAGGGTTTCTGGCAACTTTCAAACTTCTGATGACATTTTAGTGGCCCCAGATGGGCTACAGCTGGGGAGGCAGTGAGACTGGGAGGAGAACTGGGCTGCCTCTGGAGTCGGCCCTCCCTGGCCCAGGGGCTCAGCTCCTCACTGTCTGCATCCTCCTGCCAGCTATACTGCATCGCATACTCCTGCTCAAGGGTCAGCGGCTCAGAGGATGTCAAACGCTGCAGTTCCTCTGACTTCATCCACTCGTGGTACCTGCAGGGACAAAGAGGTGGTCTTAGATTTGTGGGACAGATTAAAAAGCATAGATTTAGCTAGTAGAACAGGCCTGGGAAGTAGAGGCCAGTACCTGGGAAGTAGAGGTCAGAGGATCTTGAGTTCAAGGCTAGCCTCTGCTACCTAGCAAGTCCAAAGCTAACCAGGGCTACACAAGACCCTTTCTCAAAAACAAACAGCTAGGCATGGTGGTGCACACCTTTAATCCCAGCACTCAGGAAGCAGAGACTGGCGGATCTTGTGAGATCCAGGCTAGCCTGGTCTACATAACAGTTCCAGGCCAGCTGGGGCTATAGGGAAAGAAAAAAGATCATATGTTCAAGCTTTACCTACATAGAGAATTCAGAGCCAGCCTCTCAACATCACAATTCCAAATGGCTACAAAGTATCAAACATTAAAAAAACTATGCCAGGTGCGGTGGCGCACACCTTTAATTCCAGCACTTGAGAGGCAGAGACAGGCAGATCTTTGCGAGTTCAAGGCCAGCCTGGTCTACATAGTGAGTTCCAGGACAGCTGGGGCTACAAGGAGACCCTGTCTCAGACACACACACAAAAAAAAACCCAAAAACTAAAATAAGAATCTGACATTGTCTTTCTGTTTATCTGTTTATAATCTGCCTACCCAGGGTAGTGCCATGAAGACAGGGGATTTGACTAATCATCTTTTATCTCAGAGTCAAGACACACTGTAGATACTCTTAAATACATGATCAGTAACTCCCCTTCCCCCAAAACACAACAAAAAGTATGGATTTGTACTTTGAGTTGAAGAAGTGGCTGGTAGGAAAGAGGGCCTCACAGGGCTAACAGAAGATTCAAAGAGGGGTTATAATCACTTGGAAGAAAAGGCAGGCTAACCTATCCCCTCAAGAGACCAGCAGGAAGGGACAATTCTATGTGCCCAGTTTTCCATCCTGGCTCAGTGTGGAGTAGCAGTATAAAACCAAGCATTCCTCAAATTCGAGAGGGAAGAGTATATGCCAAGCCAACCTCAGCAAGGAGGATTAGACAGACCTCCACAAAGGCAGGGTGTCAGGGACTCTCCCCCCATCCCAAACAGGATTAGAGGACACCCCCTCATACCACCACTTTCTCAAACTACCAGACATTTGTCAACTGACTCCACAAGAGTCCCAGGGACTCACCCCTAGTCTTTTAAGCAGTATACATCAAAATAGCCCATCACTGACTGTTTGGGCCAAGCAAATGTTAAGTCTCCAAGAACTGAGCATATTCATTGATACCAAAGGAATGTCAGCAGCTGACATCTAGGGAAGGAGACATTTCTTTTTTCTTTACTACACATTTAGCTGATACAATTCCTAACTGAAAAGCCTTTTAAAAGGAAGATGAAAGATGAAAAGGAAAAATTGGGGAATAAGCAACTTCTTGCAGGTTCATTTTTTTGCTATCATCATTATTATTATTTTGTCTTTTTGAGACATGGCCTCCCTGTAGCCCCAGCTGGCCTGGAACTCACTATGTAGACCAGGCTGGCCTTGAACTCAGAGATCGCCTGCCTCTGCTTCCTGAGTGCTGGGACTAAAGGCGTGTACCACCATGCCTGGCTATTATTATTATTGAGGCAGGGTCTATGTAGCACTGGCTGGCCTGGAACTCTCTATGTAGACCAGACTTGCCTTGAACTTACAGAGGTCTGCCTGCCTCTGCTGGGATTAAGGCATGCCCCATCATGCCCAGCTGTAATTATTTTTTACAAGTAATGTTTCTTCCCAGGAGAAACATGCTCTGAGATTAGGACTAAGGAAACCTTCTTCACTGTGCCATGAAAAGCTGACAACTCTACAGGACAACCCTGCATGCAGCTACAGCAGCTTCCCAGGTGAGGTGAAGTTACCTAGGCACGTGCATGGCGGTGTAGGGTACCAGGGCCACCTTCTTTCCCAGCAGCACAGTGTTCTGATTCAGCCTCATAGCTGCAGCCTACAAGTAAGAATGCAGACTTCAGAATCCTGAGTTTCTTTCCACTTAAGGTGGGAACACGGGCTCTCTTGCTAAGATGGGGTTAAGTTGACAGAAGCGTTTCCTATCCTTCTTTCCAAACACTATGGTCACTATGCCTCTTGCAAAAGAGAACCAAGGTGGTTATGAATAATTAAACCGGGTGCGAGGTGGTGAACACCTTTAACCCCAACACTCAGAGGCAGAGGCAGATGGGTCTCTGTGAGTTCAAGGCCAGCCTGGTCTACATAGTGAGTTCCAGACCAGCTACGACTATAAGGAGACCCTGCCTCAAAAAGACCGAAAAAAAAAAAAGAATAAACAGTCGGGCATGGTACTGCATGCCTTTAGTCTCAGCACTTGGGAGGCACAGGAACGTAGATTTCTGTGAGATGGAGACCAGCCAGGTCTACAGAACGTGTGACAGGCCAAATGGGGCTACAGGGAGACCCTGTCTCAAAAGGACCAAAAAAAAAAAACATTTTTTTAAATAAAAAAATAAACAAGAGGGCCTCAGAGATAACAGCAGTTAAGAGCACTGGCTACTCCTGCAAGAGAACCCAGGTTCAGTTCCCTGAACCCACAGAGCAACAAAGGTCCATAACTCTAGTTCCAAGGGATCCTACGCCCTCTTCTGCCTTCCGTGGGCATTGCATTCACAGGTGCACTTACATACATGCAGACAATACACTCAGACGCATAAAATAAACAAAGTATCTTTTTAAAATATGAATTAATTCTTGGCTCTCATTTCAAAGACCAAGCTTGGACTGCCGTTCCCCTAGAACTTCCATCCATCAAACCCAAGCACCCAATAACCAAGATTCACAGACAGCGCCTGTATCTCTTGCCCCAGCCCAGAGTCTGCAGGCCCGAAGGAACCTTCGGCCCCGCCTTAAACCTGTTTCCAACCCTTCGCTCCAGGGTCCACGGCACCGGCTCCGGCCCTCCCTCTTCCCCGCCCCCAAACCCACTCGAAGTCCTCGCGTGGCACTACAGGCCCCCTTCCTTGACCCTCTAACCGCCGGGGTCTGGAATCCGTCAAGCTCACACCCAGCCCCCACCGAGGAATTCGTCCCCAACCACACGCGCGACGCGTCTCTCCCAGAAAGCCACGGCTCGCGCATGCGCAGGCGCATACTGCGCACCTCCCACTTCCGCCTCGCCGACGGCAGCCTCCTGGCTCAATCTGGGCCCCGCCCCCGCAAGGCGTCCAATCAGTGCTCTGTTCCCCGCCCGAGGCGCTTGCTGAGAAGCGAGGCTGGGATGCTGGCGCATGCGCGCTGTGGGCCCTGGTGCAGGACGACTGGCGTCCTGCTGCTGCATCGGAGCTGAAAGTGCTGACCGCAGCCGCTGGGAGCTGGCCGTGCTGTAGGTGTCCGGGCAGGCGGGAAGGCAGGATGGGGGCAGAGAGGGGTGAGATTTGGGGGTTTCTCCAGGAGGAAAGGAGAGGGAGAGGCTCAGAGCAGGACTCTAGAGACGGGAGGCTTAAGCGTGGGGACCCCTAAGGCACGGGCAGGGAGTGAAGGCCCCCCCAAAGAGGCTTTGGGACAAGGAGTTAGGAAGGAGGATGACCTGGGAAAACCCTAGCTCCTTGCCCTAGGTGGAGAGACAGAGGGTTTCGTGGGCTGAGCTGTGTGGTAGTGAGCTCAGATCCTGGAATCAAATGGACATAAGCACTGGGGTAAGTGAGCCACTAATGGCTTCGGACACCCCCCCCCCTTCCAAGAGTAAAGTTAGAAAACTCTGTCCAGGGAGCTCCTTCCCGCCAAGGCTGAGTCCTGTGCCTAATACTGAGGCCAAAGTGTCAGTGATAAAAGGACTGGAGGTGAGCTGGGCAGATTGTAGTTCTCCCTCATTGCCATCTCTGTCCATCAGAAAGGTGAAGTCTATTTTATCTTAAGGAGCTGCAGCAGCTGCCGGCCTTACCCAGAAGACTCTCCCGCTTGCACTTCCTCACTCCTTGGAGATGGCGGGTGAAATCACAGAGACCGGCGACCTGTATTCTCCCTACGTGAGTCTTACTTTTTTTTTTTTTTTTTTTTTTTTTTTTACAGGGTCTCCCTGTAGCCCCAGCTGCCCTGGAACTCGCTATATAGACCAGACTGGCCTTGAACTCACAGAGATCCGCCTGCCTCTGCCTCCTGAGTGCTGGAATTAAAGGCGTGAGCCACCACACCCCACGTGAGTCTTACTTTTAAAAAAAAAATATTTTATTTTGTGTGTATGAGTGTATTGCTTGCATGTGCGTAAGTGTGCCAGTGTCTGCAGTGCCCACAGAGGTCAGAGAGGACATCAGATCCCCTGGAACTGGAGTTATGGATGGTTGTTAACCACCATGTGGGTACTGGGTATTGAGCCTGGGTCTTCTGCAAGAGCAGCCAGTGCTCTTAACCACTGAGCCATATCTCCCAGTCCCAAGTTTTACTTTTTTTTTTTTTTTTTGTCATTTTGAGACAGGGTATCCCTGTAGCCCCAGATGAGCTGGCCTGGAACTCGCTATGTAGACCAGGCTGGCCTTGAACTCACAGAGATCCGCCTGCCTCTGCCTCCCAAGTGCTGGGATTAAAGGCGTATGCCACCACACCCGGACCACTTTTTTAAATCTGTTTTGCTCATCACCACACTCCTGGTGTCTAGAAAAGCCCCCTACTTTTCTGTGGACTGCCCTAGTGATTGCCCCAGTTTAAGTAGATGCTAGAGAAAAACAGAACCAGAGCTCCATGTAGCAACAGTCAGGGGTCTGCTCACATTTATTATTTTAAAAACTTTTATTTTTAATTATATATATATATATATAGGGGGGGATATGTGCACATGAGTGCTATGTGCCTGCTGTGGATGGGGGGGCATCAATTCCTCTGGAACTGGAGTTGCATGTGGGTTTGAGGTGCCCAGTGTGGGTGATGGGAACTGACTCAGGTCCTTTGTAAGAACACCAAGTGCTCTTAATGGCTGAGCCATTTCTCCAGTTCCCTTCCCGCCCCCTTTTAGATGTTTATCAGAGAGCATCTAGCTACCCAGAAATGACTTGCTAACCCTCAGTTGCAGGGCTCCTCCTGTTTGCACAGTGTTGCCCCTCAGATGGGCATTCATGGACAGCTGTTGCCCTGGAGTTTTGTTTCACCTCAGCAGTCTGTAACTTCTTTGGTCTTTAGCTGAATTTTAAGTTGCACAACTTTTATGGTCTTGATGGTGAAAGAGGCAGTGAAAGGTGGAGACTTCCAATTGCAGTTTAGTAGAGTCTGCAATTACCATAATCAGAATGATTGATTTCTCTCTGTCTTGGGTCTGCTGCCCAAGCACGCTCCCCCACACACTCAGTTTATCCTCTTTATCATATCTGGTTGGTTGTGGTTGTTACATCACAGAGTCTTCTTAACTGGATAAGTAGCTGGAGGATAAGCGTGTGAATAATGAGACGGTTGACTCACTTTGCTACCAACTGTTGCAGGGAAAAGTGGTGGTTCGCTACAGAGTCAGAGCCCTCGGACTTACCCGGGTTCAACAGCTACCCTGCTTTGCACCTGCCTTTCTGGCCTGGCAATTCCCCCTGTATTTCAGCTGGTATCACAGACTCTAGCAGCACAGTGTGGTGGTTGAGAAAACATTTCTAGTAACAGCTGGAGGAAACCTTCCTCACTCTGGTATCTTCCTGTTGGGCCTGTACTATCCACATGCAGCCAGAAAGGTTCAACTTTCTCCCTGCAGTTTACCAGACTGCCTCTCACAGATGCTCAGATGGAATGGACAGTGTCTCTCTTGTTTGTGTAATCATGTGATAGTTCCCAGTCTTCTCTGTCAGCAGGAGATGTCCACACAGTCCCTAAAAGTCACTTGAGTTGCTGTTTTTTTCTTACAGTAATTATGAATTTGGAGATGAGGAAATGAGTCATTTCTGTAACAGTTTTAGAAGGAAAGTAATTGGCAGTGTCCCCATTTCTTAGGTCTCTACTTGTTCAAGTAGTCATTCTGAGCGTGCCACCATGTACTCATAGGAGCTTGGGCAGTTAGGCCTACAAGCTTCAGGGCCTCTGCCTTTTTTACTTGTTCCCTGTGTGTTTTCTTTTATTCAGTCTTTGTTGACAGTTGCCATAAAGAAGTGCTGTGTTTTATTCTAATGGTGAAGAGAGATGTAGGGAAAGGTGGAAAGATGGGTAATGGTAGCAATGGGGTAATGGTA